AACAGATTTGTTTTTACCATATATGTTGAAATTAATGCTGAAGTCTTCCATTGTAACACACGGTGGTTAAGTGTTTTCAGTCACAAGATGGCCCCAGACAGTCAACGATAGTGGAGTGACTCGTTTAGCATATAAGTAGTACCAGTCAAGATAACTCGTAGTACCCGGATGAGCGGTGTGTTATTCAATTTGCCGGTTGTTATCTGGGAATAACATACCGCTGGATGGCGCGATTGACCAATCAGAATCAAGTATTCCACAGAGCCGTGTAATAACCCTCAATAACAACCGGTAAAAGCTAATAACACAGGCTCATCCGGAAAACAGCAGTTGGCGCTGTACTCTTGCTTGAACCATTTTTTCTTGGTGGAAGCTTTGCGTTTGTTTAGCTAATAAAATATTAAAACTCGATTCAAAATGGTGTACAATTATTTAATTATGTCATCCTGGTATCACGGACTCGCTCTCGTTTCATACAAACGCAGCTGCTGCCATTTTGCTACGATTGTTTTGTACGCTGTAATGGATTATAAGAGAACTAACAAACTGGTAAGGTTTTAAAACATTTTCGTCTTAATTCTTTTATTGCCTTAATTATTTTTGTGGTGAAATGTTGTGTAATAAGTGGTTTGACTGCACCGTTTCCCTTAAATGTCCGTCTAGTTTGAATTTGCCACTTGCTCGCAACTGCTGTCTTTAGGGAAGCTTTGCGTTCAAATATTTCAACTCAAATCAATATTTCGCGTCTAATTATTTACTTATGTGGCAAGTAGCCATGTAATAAGAGGGAGAATGTACATCCAGCCGGTTGTTATCTCAGAATAAACCCCTTCAGGCTGATACAAGACCCCTCTACTTCGCGTCGGGGTCCTGATCACCCTGTCGGGGTTTATTCTGAAATAACAACCGGCTGGATGTACATTATCCCTTACATAATAACTACAATTGAATTGATTGAAAACAACAAACCTTGATTCTTGTCATATTTCTGAGACAGGCAAAGAAAAATTTCCAGTCTTCTAATTTCTGTGTTTTATTATATTATATGATCTGAGAATAACATCACACAATTGAAATCTCTTCTTCTGCAAATTAGCATAATCACAGTATAGCACAACCCATCCTACCTTACGACTTAATTTTAGGAGATATCAAACCTCTCAACTCTCAAAGTCACCACCTGACTGGAAATGTTGACTTGCATTCCCGGGGGCTTCATTTCGACATATGAAGCCTTAATCAACAGCAGCACACTGAAATGCTTAGCGTCAATCCTCATGATGTCGATTGAGGCAGAAGCCCAAAGGAACCTGATATTACAAATGACACAACATGGCTAATTATTTCCAGAGTGCTACTTAGAAATACACAAACACTGCAATTAGATAACACCAGTCCGAGTCAAACAGGGCAAACATATTAAAGGTCAAATCTAAATTATGAGGTCAATTTATTCATCCATTTTCCAGACTCCTGAATGTATCACAATAATATTACGCAGCACAACTGTTTTCAACTGTGTTAATAATAATAAATGTTTCTTGAGCAGCAAATCAGCATATTAGAATGATTTCTGAAGGATCATGTGACACTGAAGACTGGAGTAATGGCTGCTGGAAATTTAGCTTTTACATCACAGGAATAAATGACATTTCAAATGTATTCAAATAGAAAGCTACAACTAAAAAGCCATGATGTCCACATTTGAGTAATTCAACACGACATAAAGGAACAAGTGAAGCTCGACCTCTCGCAGAAGAACATCCTGTGTTTGTGCACACATGTGCACACACACATACAAGCACACACAAGCACAATTTGGTGAAACAAAAGGTTCGACACACCCATATATCTTCCTGTAACTATCAGAAGCACTTAGACTCGTGTTATGTGAACATTAGCTGACATGAACACCTAAGGCAGAAGACTACTAATTATTAATGGTTTAAGCTGTTAAAAAAAATCTCTGATCCACAGACATGTAAATGCATGAAATAATCTGGCATGCATAATTGCAGACACACCTGAGTGTTTCATCTGCGAGCTCACAGAGCAAGTCAAACCAGCTGTGTTATCTTGAGAAAACTCAGTGATGTTCAAGCTTTTTTTTTTATTTATCCTCCTAAAACTTTTCTATATTTATAATATACTAGCTAACATTATGCATTATATTGAGTTTAGCAGCCCCTGGCATTGCCAGGCCGGTGCCCGGTGTTTGTCAATGTAACTGGAGCACCTGATGAAGTGGAGTTTCAAGATATATATATATAGTAACAAAATGTCCCTGAGAACATTTCATGACTCAGTCACAGGACACTGAAACATTGCAGCCACACCAGGGGCCTTCTAGAAAACAAGTGTATTCCTAGCTATACAAAATCAATATATTTCATGCACTGCACATTCATAAATGCATTTCACCACTGTCTCTGCGGGTATGGCTCTCTGAAGTAGATGGAGAATTGTGTCATAATGGAATGCTGTTTTACATTTTCTAGGCTGGATGTGCAAACATGGCAGAGTTGGGTGATAAAACACTCATGGCTTTGAAGATTTACAGTTCATATCTGCGACACTAGACTGATTGGGGACAATAATTCAGCTAAACTACAGGTCAGTAACTGGCAAGGGCTTTCATTGTCCACAAGAGGGTGTAAATGCTCCATTAGAAGCTAAAGCATGACAAGTATATTCTTGATGAATGGATTATGAGTTTTATGCAGGCATTACACATATTGTTTTAGCAATTTGAACGAATTTCCATTCATTTTTCAGTCACTCGTGGTTAACTAGCGATTTCAATTTTTCTTTTCTCTTTGGAGTGTTACAAGCTTTTGGTGCATAAAGAAGATCTGTAAAGTTGCAAAGACTGAAGTCTCAAATCCAAAGCGTCAACCACGCCTACCTAAAATGGCTCGTTCTAACACGCCCCCACATGTCTACGTCACGATGTGGGAAGATTTGCATAACGCCGCCTAAATGTTCACGCAAAGAAAGAAGGCGTAACTTTTATTCTCGCTTTAGTATTGTTGCTGCCGCCATGTCGTGAAGACGCTGTGTCCTTCGTTGTGAAAGCGAAACTACTTTGTTTGGCCTTCCAAAAGAGGACACTAGAAATCAGTGGTTAAGTTGTATTTACAACACTGTTCCAGAACAGTTCAACCCAAATATTCAGATGTGTG